TTTATGTTTGTCATCAGTGAATTGGTTCTGAAGCTCTTAATTTAAATAATTAAACCCTTAGATTAAATAATTGCTATTAATGTTTCCCTGTTTATCAGCAGTGGTTGACTTTTGTGATTTTAGTTACTGTTGATCAACCACAGTCCAAAAATATTAAATGGAAACTTCTAGAAATAAAAGATTCATGTTTTAAATTGCAACCATTTTGAGTAGTATGATAAAATCTTGCACTATCCCGCTTCATCCCTCCTGGTATGTGAAACATGCCTTTATCCCAGATATCCACAGCATGGATGCTACCTGCCTATTAGTCACTTAGTAACCCTCTCAGTTATCAGATTGACTATCTTGTGTAGTGTACATAAAGTTCATTACTATCTACAGTTTTAGGCATCCACTGAGGTGCTTGGAACATATCCCCTGTGGATAAGGTGAGACTACTGTATAAACATTAGCATATGGGTTGCTACTGCTAGGAATGGTTGGCTTGAAGATGAGATAATTCATATGAAAACCAAAATTCTAAAAGCTATCTTATAAGAGACACAAGAGTAGTACTGTTAATGCTTATGTAAAAACTGTTGATACAAATGTTTTGTATTAATACATATAAAATATCTAATAGTTAGAGAAGCTCAAAGGTGGAATAGGCAACTCATCACAGGAATAGGTTGGGAAGACTGGTTAGTTGCAAATTGCAGGCAGGCTTTAGGTGTTGATGTGTGCTTGCAGAAGTCACACTTTAAAGCTTTCTTTTAACCTAAAGAGTCAGTCACTTTATGTGTGGTATATTGAATGCATTTTATATCAATCCATAATATAAATTGTGGATAATATTTGCAGTCTTTTGTCAGGTAAAGATACAGTGAGAAATGACAGTTTAAAAGATTGAGGATTCCAATAAAAGTCTGTTTTGTTTATGTTTTAATTACAACCCTGTATTATGGGAGGTAACAGGAATAGTGTATTGTAACACTTACTTTTCTTTCTTATTTTTTTTTTGCAATTTTTGGCCAGGGCTGGGTTTGAACCTGCCACCTCGGCATATGGAGCGAGCATCCTACTCCTTTGAGCCACAGGTGTCACCCCTGTAACACTCACTTTTAATTGGAGGAAGATAGCACAGTGTGTGGCTCTGGGCAATGCGTGTTAGCTAGAAAAAGCCTCCAAGAAGTTCTGATGTGGAACTACCTTGTGTGGGTGACTTTTATCCCTTTCAGCTGAGAATTATTTCAGGAGTCTCTAGTCCCGGAAAGGCACATTTCTCCAACATTAAATGTAGGACACTTGACATGCATGCACTAAGTATTTGTAGAATAAAATAACGAAATCTATTGTAATATTCTCAGATGTCAAGGATCATCAAGGGGAAATTAAAAGAAGACAGTGATACTACTGCTTCCTATGAACTATACTGGGCACTGTAACACACAAGGCCATTGACCACTATAGCCCAAACCTCTGCAAAGCATACCTGTCTCATTCGGAATAGGCTTAGGACCTGAATGCATGTACTTTCTGAAATTATAAGTACTCTAACAAAAATTTCCACACCACCAGACCATGGCCCTTGTTGTAGTTTATAACCTGTGTCCAAAACTTGTTCTCTACTTAACAAATCTGCTGTACTATTTGCTTATGTTGACACTCAATTGAAAGATAGTCTTTTTCACTCTCTCTCTCTCTCTCTTTTTTTTTTTAGTTGCTAAGCTTAATTTGTTTTATTCCTCCCAAGCAACATTTCATTTCTAAATTTTCCTATGGAAGAAAGAACTGTAATCATGAAATAGTGTGTTGAATTACTTATATTACTGATCAGGGTATCTTTAATAAAAAAATTAAGAAAAGATAATATATAGCATTTCCATTTCTGCTCTTGATTTCACTCTTCTTATAATAAACACAAAAACTCAGGTAGTAAAATTGTATATTTATTTTGGGTTGAGATATTATATATCCTGTAATTTTTAAATAAATATTTTCTCTTCTTACTAAGCAAGATAGAAATAACTTTTGCATTGTATTTACCCACCCTGCTATTGCCTGTATCACGAATTTCTCTAACATTAGTAAAATTTTGTTGAATAATAGAAATAAATGTTTAATGAATGTAAAATTATATTTCTATCTAAATTATGTAGTTGGGTCTCATGTTCTAAGTTAGTATTTAAAAATTAAACTATTTCCCTCCAAGGAAGATGTACACACAGAGTAAGAAAAGTGACATGTTGACAGGGCTCGAGTTCCAGTCATGTCTCTTAATTGACTGTTTCCATATTCATAAAATGATAGTTCCCAATTCAGAATTTTTTTTAAGGATTCTATGAGCAGTATGTGAAATATTTTCTTTTTTTTTTCTTTTAACTGAAGTAACGTACAAGTTCTTGCTTCAACGACAAATGAGAAATAGTATACACCATGGATATCCTTTATTAACTTAGAATCTTGGTTTCAGATACATATGGATTCAGAAAGGACTTTATCAACTGTCAAGTGGATCTCCCCTCTTTAGCGTTTGGGGAAACTCCATTACAGAGAAATGAAGAGGCTCCCTAAAAGCCAAACAACAAGAATGAACAAAATAATTCTATTTTTTTGAGATGAATTGAAAATATCTGCAAGATATGTTGCTTTTATTCAATGTCTATATTTTAGAGCTAAGCATGTCAAGCAGAGCATACGCTGACTGTGGGAAAGATGATTTTTATTAGTCATTAAATTTTTGTGCAGTAAATTTTCTGAAACCATCGTGAAAATTATCATATCATTTTTTATTTTATTGAAAAATTTAAGTAGAGAATGTTTCTCTGCATTGTTAGTCTTGTATACATCTTAGTCTTGAACTTTTCCTAACCCATAACTATAGCCCATGAGAAAGCTTCATTAGGTAAATGTGGCAAATCTATAGTCCTGAGATCATTTATATTTGTTTGGCCTTCATATCAGCAGGAGAAAAAAGGTATTTATCATGAACCCAACCAGTATTTCTTGAGCTCCTCATAGGTATAATAATAACAGCTAACCCGGGAGTTTATGGCTGCAGGGAGCTATGATCAAGACAGCGCACTCCAGCAAGGGTGATGCAACAAGACCCTATCTCTAAAAGAAAAAATTTTTCCAAGATTTATTTAACTTATTAATAAAGGAAACGATGGGGAAGACAAAAGGCAAATGGTCCATTGGGCAGAATGTTTCGGGAACACAGTCAAATAAGAAAGGAATACCTGAATAAGAGTCTAAGTTACATGTAAAAGTATAAAACTGGCTACATTTCTACAGAGCGATAAACCATAACACTTTTAGAGCCTTTTAAAGAAGTAGAGAACAATACAAAATGTAAGTAAGTGAAGAATTAGTAGTGTAGCAATAAGTTTGAAGGAGAGAATAATTAGAGTTTTCTGGTATAGTAAGTTTTCTGATATAGTAAGATGGTTTTCAATAAGAATAGTAGATAAGTCTTAGGACATGGTAAGTAAACAGAATTCTAAGGCAAAACATGCAGACCAAAAAGTAGCTCTCCTAATGGAGGTATAGAGTATAGTTCACTTGGCATGATTGGTTCAACAACGACATTGCTTTTGGACAAGCTAAACTACCAATTCTAGTTAGAACTAGTATTAGTCTGTGTTTCAGCCTCTGATAAATTTAAGCTGTGTTATTCTTTTAGCTAAAGCCAAAAATAAAAGACGTCCAAATATAGCAATTTTAAACTCAAGCCTTAAAAGTTTACTTTTGTCCTGAAAACAAAAGAAAGTCACAACTAGTTTTGATAAGATGGAACCAATTAAGATAACATTTGGAAATATAGATCTAACTATGGTAGGTATGAGGAAGAGAAATAAGGGGACCAAACAGCTCTTACATGTTTGAAATAAAAACCATGGGTGAAAATCAAGAGAAAAAAATCAGATATGAAAAGCGTGAAAAAATAGTATCTTCATTATTGTCTGTATAAAATTGTAAGTTTCTAGATGTTAACTTTTATAATGTTTTAAATTTTATAATTTTTATAACTTTTTCCAAACCAACCAGTTAGTCCACTCATTAACAAAGTAGAGGTGAGACAATAAATGCATGTTGATGTTTCAAGAGTTATTTTTCTTAATTAAAAAAATGGGCTCGGCGTCTATAACACAGTGGATATGGTGCCAGTCACATACACCAGGGGTGGTGGGTTCAAAGCCAGCCTGGGCCAGCTAAACAACAATGAGAACTGCAATAAAAAAATAACCAGGCATTGTGGTGGGTGCTGTAATCCCAGCTACTGGGAGACTGAGCCAAGAGAATCACTTCAGTCCAGGAGTTTGAGGTTTCTGTGAGCTGTGATGTCACAGCACTGTACTGTACATAGTGAGACTCTGTCTCAAAAAAAAAAAAAAAAAAAGATTACCCTTTTTTAATTCTTCAACTAATGTTCATTTTGCCAATTTGCCAACAAATAGGAGAAAGATTTTCTTTTTTAAACATTTCACTGGGTGTAGAGAACTGCTACAACAGAGCCCTTGCCTGACAAATGAAAACATTGTAGCCTAATTGTACCCTCATAGTAATCCGAAATAAAAATAAGTAAAATAAATTAAATATATATTTAAGCTCTTTTATATTCAAGATGTCTTAAGAAACTATATTGGTGAATACAGTGTGACTTCCAAGATGATGGACTATGACTCAATGAAATTGAAATGTGTAGTATTTTCCTCACTCGTTAAGAGCTACTAAAGAAAGGTGTAAGTGCTAATAAATGCCTGTCATTGTTTTCAAGTAGCAAGAAATGTATACATATGTAAAATATCTAAAACTATAATCAAGCAGCTAGGGATCAGATGTGAAACTAATGATTTTATTAGCAATACTTTGAATCTAAGTAATTGTACTTTCTGGCTAATTGTGTGTGTTTAGGTAAAATATAGTATAAAAAGAGAAAAAAGAAAAATGAATACTTAGTGTTCTTATGTATATAACCAACTGGATTTAATGAAAGCCATTTATATTGTACATAGGTATGACATCAAAGATGATTACACACTGAGAATTAAAAAGGCCATGAGCACGGACGAAGGCAGCTACATGTGCATTGCCGAGAATCGAGTTGGGAAAGTGGAAGCTGCTGCGACCCTCACAGTCCGAGGTGAGAGATGGAATCAGGAAACAATCCACAATCAAAATAACAGATTAAATTATTTTATTGTTACGTTAAAATGCCTAGGTGTTTTGTCGTCTCCATCATTAATTGAAATAAAATTACTTCCAAATTTGTGTCCCAAGTGATGATAGTTTAAAAGAATTAATTCTTATTTAGTAAACAATAGCTTATGTGGTTTAAACCTAACCATATACACGGCTTAAAAGTAAATTTAAAAATAGAAAAGATGTACACAAGTCTTTTACATTTCTAATGCTTTCCAGTATTTACTGCTTTTAAATGTTGTCAGTTTCAGAGATACTCTGTGTTCTGATCACCAGTTCATCATTTTATTCCAGCAGAGTACTGTTTTAAAATTCTTTTTGTATGTCAGCATTCAGAAATGAAATCTGAAAAAAAACAAAAAACAAAAAACTAGCCATCTTTCCGAAGGTGAAAAATGAATACAGAGGAGCTCCAACATTGCGATAATCTGATTTAGAAACGGATTTGCGAAGTTCATTGGCCTTAAATACTTGAAATAGTCAGTGCTGCTCTTGTAATAACTCTCACTTTCTAGGTGTTATGCACTTTCTCAGTCATGGAATAATGTTCAGTTATAGACTTACTAGAACTGCTTACATAAAAAAGAAAACATTACTTCCCTCTACAGTGCACCAGAATGAATGAACTCTGTCTTCCTGGTTGAACTTGTTGATCACATGAGGTAAATTACGCAGCACACGGTACCAAGTAGTACCATGTAAACAGTTAACTTATTCTTGCCAACTACGCGTTACCCACTGCATCATCTACACTCACAGAACCTCAAACAGATATAGGCAAGCACATCCTTTCTTCCACTACGAGCGATTTCTTCTCTCCTCATCCTTCATGAGAAGGAGATGAGCTGTGTGCTTTCGTCCAAGTCTCAGTTAGATCTCACCCTGTGTAGTCATACCTCATACCCTGTGCTGCTTTGCTCTCAGGTTTGATCAGGTTAGGAGAAAAGGTTTGAAAGAATTTGGAATTGCCAAAAAAAAAAAAAAAAAAATGTGTCCAGGGTTCTCAGGTTAATCTTCCATTTGGTAAGAAAACTGATTTTTGCCAGGTTTATGATTTGACCTTCAAATAATACAAAACCCTTTTGCCTCTGGGTAGCTATTAGGAGACAGGCTCTCTGGATACCTGGAGAAATATTGGTACTTCACATACTTTTCAATTGTTCCATTCCCATTCAAGTTCATCTAGATTTTTCTGCTCCAGACATTCTAGTGTAAAATTAGATACAAACAAATTTAGACAAAATTGACAAGCTAGTTGCTTAAAAATATTTGTATTCCTCTTTAGTTAACGGATCATAAAGGGATATGATTGTATATGTATCCAATATACATACCAATTACATAAAATCAAAAGCTGATACCTTTATAAGCTAGCAGACACTTTATTTAACCTGCCCTCTCTGTAGGTGATTTTATATATGTTTGTTTTTAACTGAGCAGCCCTTTGCAGAAACAATTCCCTTGACCAAGTTATCCCCAAAGTTTGTGGGATTTTTTTCTGAAGTAAATGGAAAAGAAAATAAACGACCAACCAAGAAATGTTCCATTCAAAAAATATTTGCTGACTAAACAAATGCTAAGAAAATGTGAGAAGTTGGTTGTTTGTAAAAGCAGCAGGGCCCCTTCTAGACTTGAACGCCTGGATGGGTGAGAATTGAAGTGTTCTGTTTGCTTTAGGATCTTTCCCAGCTAATTGTTTTCATAATTTGTTGAAAGTTTCAAGGTTAACATTTCATTTAACAAAGCAGGCTCCCCATGCATAAATGTTTGAAGCTAACTTACAAAAGTAGTAGAAGGCATTTTTTGTTCTTAGTAACATGCTCTTCTTCTTTTTTTTTAATCAGCAAACCTCATAGGGTCTCTTTTGTGATCTCTATCCCAGTAGAAGGACTGTGGTTATCTATTCTGTGTGATAACTATTTATCACTTGTCTGAGAATAAAACCTCAAAAGCTAGGTTAAATTCAAAAGTCTCCATAATATAATATAATAAGGAGTAAAACATTATTTAAAAACTTTTTTTTACCCAAAAGTAAAGTAGGTGGAATTAATTTCTCATTCTAAGAGATTAAAAGGTGGGGGGGAAGCCCACATTATTATCTATGACTGATTTCTTTTTCTTGTTCTCATTTTTCTATCCTTTCTTTGGATTGCTTTATTAGAACAGGGTCAACTGACCCAAGAGGCCATGTCCATTTTCATCCATTTAATGCAGGGACACAGTTTAATTTGCTGATTTTGAAAACATCTACTTGCTGGGGTTTTTGAAGATGAAATGTAGCTATGTAGCAGGACAAGAAGTTTTATTATGATGGTTCTGCTAAAATTTTATATTAATATTCACATTAGGGCGACATCTACTCAAGGAGTAGAGTGCAGGCCCCAGATACTGGGGGTGGCGGGTTCAAGCCCGGCCCCAGCCAAAACTGCAAAAATAATAATAATAATCATAATATTCACATTACCCATTGGGAAAAAGAAGAAAAATGGAAAATTGGTGGTGGGAGGATTATTACCAAAATCTGAAACAGAGCTACTCAGTTATTTTCTATTTAAAAAGTATGGTTAGGGTGGCTGGTTAGCTCAGTTGGTTAGAGAGTGGTGCTGATAAAAAGTATGGTTAAAAGAAAGACCGTAAAATGAGGCTTAACATAACCAGGTCCCTTTACTGACTTTGCAAATGTAAAATTAGAAAGAAATATTGTTAGGGACTTTGCAAATATAAAATTAGAAAGAAATATTGTTAGGAAAAATGAACCTCCTGATAATTACATTCTAATCAAATAATTTATTATCTAATAGAACTTTTTGAAATGAATCAAAAATGACAAACAACACAAGCTGCATATTTGTAAGCACTTTCCCCCCTATTGTTCAATTGTTTAATTGTTTTTGCCAATAGGGATCTCAATGGACAAATTATGTTGCTGCTTGGGCAAGGAAGCCTTAAAATAATAAAGTGAAGTTGAAATACATTTTATGCATTTAAAACATGATTTTTAACCCTAATTTCTTTCTCTTTTTGTTCTTCAAATATCATAGACTCAAAATGCCTTTTTCTTTCTAAAATACATGTTTGGAATTGAGTTTGAGGTGGCAAGCCAAAAAATATAAATTTAAAGATGCAACGCAACGTTATTTTTCTTGCAGACATGGGCTAGATTAAGAAATTTCATCGGTTGAGAATAAGGCACAACTTGATGTAGTCTGTTGCCTTCTGGGGGACAGTTTCTTATATTTTGTCCCCTCCTCCTCTACAAAAAGAGATTGTGGTACATCGAGCCATGCACTTTTCTTTTCCTCTTGCTACAGTAAATGCACCATATACTTTAGGATGCTCAGGGTTCAGAAACCAGAATTTTCATACTGCTGCTACAAGTGCCTTTTCTCCTTCTGTTATCTTAATCTTCCCCCCTTTTAATTATGAACAATCTTATAAGACCATGACTTTGATATAGAAGCAACTGGTTAGTATTTTAGAGATTGCACAACACTAGTACTATGATGCCTTGGTTGGATGGATGAATAAGGATAAATCTGTTTTCAATGGCTATATCTACTCTGCCATGCCCAGACAGTCATCATCAACACAACACTATGCAAATGTTCCAGAGCCACACCGTGTATGCACTAGGGCTGTGTGCCCTGAGACGTGGGTAAGACGCTTCCTAGAAAAAATTCATATTGTAAATGCAAGATTTCGTGATAGTTCAATGATTACTAAATATGTTTCTTCCTCACTTAGATAATAGGACTACATGTTGTATAATATTCATCTATTGCTTTTGCTTTTATGCAAATTGTTTCATTGGTTTACTCTCTAAACTGGTTTTGCTTTATTGTTTTAAAAGAAAGTATTATTAAGCCCATGAATATCTCTTGCCATTTCTGGGCATTAATAACAGGAGTAGAATATTGCTACTGATTTTAGTGATTGAAAGTTATGGTATAATAGAAAACATGATAATTTGTTGAAGCAGCAGTTTGAAAGCCATTCTCAGGGTGAACAAGCATCAACTTGTCAGTCATTGTTTCTGCCCTCTGCCAAAAGAAGAAAAAAGCTTAACAGTAGTTAGGGAGCCACTGAGTTGAATTCTCTGAGGATGTTCCAACCTATTTGTTATATTTTCATCCACCCTGTCCACGGATGAAAAGTGATGTGATCTTAACTTATTACTGACTGAAAAGCAGCGTCAGGGACTTCTCTGGCGTCCTCGTAATGGTTCTGACTAACCATGCTTAAAATCCAATTGCTATTTAAATCAGACAGCGAGGCCTTCTTTTATTGACATGACATTTGCTAGTCTGTGACCTGAATAGTTATATTCATCAGGTTCTTAACTTCAGAGTAACACAGGGCTGTTCACTCAAGATCTTTAAAATAACCATAGTGAGCCATGATAATAAGACTCTAGTTAAAACATCTCTCGAATTGCTTATAGTTAATCCTAAGAATCAAAATACTTGTTTCCTTAGAATTATAACTTTCAGTTTTATCAAGCTCAGACATCTTGTTCATACTTGAATTATGAGACTAGAAATCACTCTATTGTCCATACTTAAATGTAACATTACACATCATGCATTCTGATAATTTTCTTTTTCTTTTAATTTCTTTTTTATGTTCTCACCACACCATTGTAATGTCTACAGCTCGCCCCGTTGGTAAGTAGCCATCCTTCTATCCACTTAGCATGGCTTTGCACAGTGCTTCATAACTCATGCATAGCAAGATTTGACAGAATGAAATTGATTCACCCATGTTTAAGTAATGCCTGTAAGACTGCTGTGAAGTTGCTACCGATTTTTTCTTCACTTCTATAAACCATTTTGTAATGACTTTTGCTACATAGCAATGAGTATCTAATAATTTCCACGTAAAAGAATATAGGAACGATTGATACTATAAACTGCTAACTTACAGAAGAAAAACACAATACGTTCCTCTTTTTCTGGTATGTGTAAGTTAACCATTATTTATATTTGATATTAGTTGGCATAAAAGGTCATAAACTACATTATGATGTTCTATTACTTTATGCAATTCTTTTATTTCAAGCTACTCGGAGTCCCAAGTCTTTAGCACAATTTTTAACTGCTGCATATTTATTGTTTGCATGCCTATTTAAGCTAAATTTAAGTAGAATGCTTCAAGTTAATGGAAATAGCTGCTTATCCTACCTGGGGAAGGGAAGGTTGAGCTATGTTCTTTGGCATGAAAACTTAGTGCTTGTAGTCTTCTCATGATACCTCATCCTTCATTTGGCTTTGCAAAATTGAAGTGAGTTTGCATTTGTAGAAACTTAAGTGGTGATTGTTTGTAAACACTGGCAGATAAAATCATTTCCAATCATTGATTTAATAATGTTTCTACATCTCTTTTAAATTTTAGTTTAATTTACTGACAAATATGTTTAGATATGTCTTGATGATTGTGTTGTGTAGATGGCTGCATGAATGAACAGGTTTAGAACTCTGCTTCTTGAGTATACCAAGAGATACTTGTTCTTGTACTTTATTCAACTATGTAGGCTTTATAAATTGTCCATCTAACTTCAAGAGCTTTCTTAATATTCTGCCTTGACCTTGCTGACACTTGATATATATTAGTCCGAACTCAATATTTACCCTGCCCCTTCGGTTGAAACATTCATGAACTTTATTGTTACAGAATATGTTCTTACATGGTTAGCAAATACAATAAATAGAACTTTGGTTTCCCACTCTAACTTTCGGATCTGGATTTTCTGAGCAGTACCTTTTTATTGATTAGTAATTTAATGTCTGTGATCCCTGCTCCTTCTGAAAAATGGAAAGAATATTACAGACTTAAAAAAGCCTTTGCAGGAATGGGGTGAATTTAAAATCCTATACATGAAAAGTGTTTTATATGCCAATTTGGGCCGACATATGCCGATTTTCTAAGGCATAGTATTTTACATTTTATCATTTTGAAATATGGTTATGGCTTACAAAATTACTTGAAACAAACTACAGGGTTGTTTTTTCTTTCTTGCAACAATTATTAAATCAATACTGCATTAGATAATTGGCGTTTAAAGATTGAGGAATGTGATGTTATAATTTTTAAACCTCATTTTCTTGTATTTGTAAGAATTTCTGTAATAATAACTTTACATGTCTTTTGAATGACATTTAAAATTAAGAAAAGAAGGGGAAAGAATGAGAGAAAACGGAAAAAGATGAAGAAACAGCTAATGGTAGACTACATGAACACTCTCTCAGATTTCCTTTCTCAACATCTATGAACTAGTTTTTGGGTCCAGAGACTCACTCACCTATGTGTCAAATAAGAAAGAATAACAATAGTAATAATAATTATTATTATGTATAATAAAATGTAAGTGAAATGATATGTATAAAAATTATATGTAGCAAAATTTATTATACATAATATGTAATAAAATGGAATAAATTGAAAAATTTAGAACATTCTCACACTTTTTAGAATTCTTGATTACTAAGCCCTACAAAAACCTTGCAACCTTCATTAGACGTAACTCCGAAATATTAAGTATCATGGTGGGTAAAAATATAAAGCAGAAGAAAATTGAATGAGAATATGTGTCAGTAGAAAGGATGGAATGAGGTACTGAAGAAAGCAAGCTGCTTTAGCACTGGCCTCAATTGCAATGATAAGATAATGACTTTTCAAATAAATAGAAAATAAATCGCATTTAAAGTATAGATCTTTATATATATAGAAACCTACGTCAATATACCATGACGGCTAAATTTATATTTCTCAAGTGTCCAGGACATAGACCAATACATCAATAATGTCTAATAAATTTAAAATCCGTAGACCTGTAAATAAGTACACTCATTTAAAAATATGGTGTACACAGAGCATTGAGATGTATCTGTCACATGCAAAGCATTTCAAAAGTTATTTCCATTTCTTATTCTTGTTTGAAATGATTTCTTAAATTCCCATTGGGCTGGAACTAAAGAATAGCTTCTTGACACGCTGTATTTTATTCTGGAAAAGTCTGTCATTTCATACCTCTATCTCAAATGAGTTATGACAAGGTTCAGAAATATAAAGAACTACACTTTAAACTTGACAACTACTATTAATTTTGGAAACTGAGCATTGGACATGTTTTTGTTGGATTACCAGAGAAGATACAGTAATGAGGAAATTAGCCTCATTTGTTTTAAATCAAATTCTTATATCAGTTTTAATTCAGGAATTACAGGTATTTGAACTTCTATTGTGTAATCAGAAAGTATAAGTCCCATACAATAATGAATAAAATACTCAAGTCATAGAAAAACTGAACTATTAGTTACATTTGTTTTTACAACTTTGAAACTTTTAATGATAACGTGGGGTATTGTGCAAAGTAGAGACCACAGAGAAAAGAGAAAAACATTTTTAATTCCAATATAACTTAGGTGAAATATGTAAAATGAATGTAAAATTTAGAAGTGTAGTTGAAAAATTTTGAAGTGTAGTTCATGTCTAAATCTTTTCAAAGAAAATTAGAAGTCCACGCAGATTCCCTGATACTTCAGATTCAGAAAGCAATCGCTGCATTAGCTGCTGGATTAAACTTCTTAGTGGTCTCTGTGGATAGCCTTATTTAGAAATTATTATAAACCATCACACTGAGAGTTTTGTCCAAATGGAGGACTCTTAGGAGCTGCATTTGAGTTTAAAGAATTTGCAACTCTATACAATTCATAGATGGAATAAACACCATCCATCACCAAACACGAATATACTTTTAGATGCTAGAAAACTTTATTAAAGATCTCTCAGTGTGGGGAATGTTACTGAATGCAGACAGTTGCATTCTTGCCAAATACTTCTATTTCCTAGATTTGACTTACTCATCTGCAAAGCCACCAACATCTGAAAAAGAACTCTTTAATCCAATCCTCGTGTTTGCTGATTGTCCCAAAATCTAGACAAATGCGGCTTTGATAATTAAAAAATCCACAAGCCCTTCCTGTGGTTTTGACGTTTAACTGTTCCAAAGGCATTTTTTTTTCTATATAAAGCAAAAGAACAACCTAAAATGTAGTTTACCAGGAATGTTGAAATATGCATTTGTTTATTTGGAAAATTCTCCTGATGAGGAAACTGACAGAGACAGGGGTCTAAGTAGGGATAAATATCTTACTTCCTATAGCATCTGTCTACGTTTTCTATTGGAAGCATTTCCCAAGCTTAAAAATAAAAAAGAACATCTATTTTGGAGATGGGCAACACATTTTTTCCCTAGCAGCAACTCAAAACATGATGAGTAATTTGGAAAAGAACCGTCAAATCTGCCAGCTGCCTTGCCTGTGAAGCTGCCCTGCTCCATCTTGTATCTTGCGTACCATATGTTACATGCTGATTGCCTCGGGTGTGGAAACTAAAAGCTGAGTATTTCAAGGGAAACTTGTTTAAAATATCAACAGCTAACTGACAATATACAACTTTATGGAAACTTCTAAGTGTTCTCTAATTTATTAACTCAAAAGCATGTTTCCTTTGGATAGAAGAGTATAACTGCCCACACAGGAATTTATTGGTCTTAAGAAATACATGTTTTGGCTAAACATGTTTCTTGTTTTGAATTTCACATTTTAATGTTATTATTATAAAGAAACAGCCACTCTTCTAAACAAAAGTGGATAGGGACTTTTTTTTTTTTTTGATGTTTTAACTGCTTAAACACAAAAATTAAATATATCCTCACTTTAGAAAGTTCTATTGGAAGTAGAATTCTGGTATAATGCTTTTTATTTTTGAGGCCACCAAGAAGTTCAAACCATGTTTGTGACTGAAAACTTGATTGAGAGCAAATTATAAATCAGACATTACTTAAAGAATAGTGAGAAAGGTATTCTCAATACCCTTATTCCCCATCCCACTCTGAAATTTGGAAAATGTAATGTACTATATATAATTTAACTTAATGTTAGAAAAAATTACGTTTTGTCTATTCATCAGAAAACGTGTAGGTATCATTTATGAACTATTTCATGTCGACATGCATATTTTGCAAAAGATGTCCTGAGTGTTTCTTGGAAGGAGACCCAGAATTTCAGTTCCTCCGTTCTTTCTTCTTTGAACAAGCTGTTGCCCCATGACCCGAGGTGATCATCTCCCTCCTGCCAGCTCTTAATGTTCCCTGCACCTGGCACTAATTAGCTACTTTATGCAGAGTCCCACTTAATTATTATTAAGCATCACATTTTCCATTGTTTCATATGTTTTGATTAAATAGTAAGTTAAGGAAAGGCATTCTTTTTTACTGAGTACATTTCAACAAAGTTCCCGTCATGTGAAACATTTATAATATCTTAGCTAATGCTAACTTTTAAGGTGAAAAATAGGTACAGGTTACTTCCCAGGCTGAGCTGCTTTTAGCTGTATGTGCTAGACAGTATCTTTGTCTCAATAGGAGAGGCTGTGTATAATGTTTTTTATCTTGGTATTAAATGGCACTGTGGTGAAAGCTGAACCTTAGAAAATATTTTTTCCTCTTGGCTGGATGCCTTTGCTACAAGAACACCTATGTAGTTTCTTCCTCCCCGTAATTTGCTGGGTTGTATCTTGGTGGTGATAATTCTGTATTTAATATTACTAGAGTACAATAATCCACTTTAATCTGCAGATTTGTATTTAAAATTACTTTATTTCA